TCTATTCAGTCAATAATCATGGCAGAAATATTCATGACAATATCAGCCGTCATCAGCACTCATTTGGTTTGAATTGAATTTCAGCCATCGATCACTGTATCAAATTACTTTTTATGGCAAGTGAAAGCATTCATCTGTTCAGTGTCCCACGCTCACCTCATTGGTCCAGCGTTAAGAACGAGGAACACCACGACCACCATGAGGCACACCGCTCTCCTTTTGGGTGCTGATGCTTTCAGCGCTGTATTCTGCAGAGAAAGCGAGGAAACCCCTTGTAGTGAAAACGACTTCCAACACGTGCACATGCGCCTGTACTGTGAGTGAAGTGCTGGTCGTATCTCACCTTGCTCAGAAGGCCCTCCAGCTGTTTCTTTAGGTTGCCGTTCTCACTCTTGAGCACCTCGTTCTCAGACAGCGCCACCTTCAGGCGAGCTTCCAGCGAGAGCAAATACTCTTTCTTCTTTTTCCGAGACAGGGATGCCGACTCGCGGTTTTTTATCATGCGCTGCTGTCTCTGGGACAACTTGGACTACAGTGGGAATGTGAGAAAAAACAGAAACAAGGACATCATTTATTATTGAAGTCACGCCAATATTTTATCCTTCCTCGACTCAGCACGTATCCAAACAGGAAAGAGAAGCAGTTACTGCCTAAGCCACCTGTTGGACTGCAGACCACAGGTTCTTCTGACTTGTGTGATAGTTGATTTAAATAAAAAGTCTTTTGAATCACATGAGCAGTTCTTTTTAGTAAAATGATCCAAAAGTGGGAATGAGGAGAAAACTAGAAACATCTCGTGCTTCCAAAAAGTTAGGTCAAGGCTGTCTCATCCAATATGCATTACAGACATCATAAATACAGCATCAGAGGAGATTTACTCAATCACTACATCTCTACTCCGTCACTGGTACCGAACTTACTTTCTGTTCCAGAGTGATCGTGCTGAATACTGCTGGCAAAACATTATTATTTCCCAGAGTAGTTGATCTTTCATCTTTCGAGTGTATTTTTTGGATAATTATGGGAAATAAGCGTGTGAACGTGTGCTTTGTGATTTCACAGTGACTTTGACCGTTGACCATCGAGTCCAAACAAGAACTGAGGATGGGATTAACAAAAAAAGAAACTAAAAACACACAAAATAAAAACAAAACAAAACAAAAAAAACAGATGGGACTGCCCATAAACATAATTACTCTGACCACAGCGTCTCTGGGAAACTAAACATCATTTTACAGTCAATTCTAAAGACGTATGTTATATTCATTTGTATTTACTGCCATTTCATTTCACATACATGTGCTCCGACATCTGCTCTGTCGATTTCTTGAACCAACACTCATGAGAAAGAAGAAATCACAGGAAACCAGGAAAGATAAACCCAACATAAAAGCCAGTGCCGACTGTTATTCTCACCCAGAGACTCCCTCTGTTGCTGGTGCTCTAGTTTACTTCAGTGATAGAATAATAAACAGACACATTAAGGATGTATTGTAAGGTTAATGACAATTCTTCAGCAAATCCTGGCATTAACATCGCTCCAAAGAGCCCTTAAGTGTATGCTTTAAGTAAAATATTTACACCAGGATCCTCTAGGGGCATAAAAGGTCACCTGCAATGCTTCAATTCTATACGTGTGTTTAGAAAAGGTGTCACTCATTGATAAATGGGTTCACATCAGGCACATAAACACAGAAACAGTTTATATGTTAGTGGTCTAAATGTGGAAACAGAAGAACGGCCACAGCCAGCATCTATTGTTTTAACTCTCAAGGTAAACTATAAATAAATAAATACAATTCTGGCATTTTTTTTCAGTTTAGATTTGTTTATCTGAGGCATTTGTGTGAATCAAGACTTAAAAAATATCAACATAAACAAATTAATAAATAAATAAAGACACGCTCAAGTAGATTCTTTCCACTTGACGTCAGTAAGATGAGAACTGAAATCAAAGTCTCGCATGCTAACCCAAATAGTGCATATGTTAACATGACCTCTCTCAAATTAACAGAGCCAGTGGCACAGATTACCCAAACACCTTCATTGTCCACCCACTCCCCAGCTATCTCGCCGCCCCTCTTCTCCAAACACGAACGCCCTCCTAAGGGTAAGTCTGTAAGATCCAGGGTCTAATAGCCCCGCTGGTGATTAAGTTATTTGGATCCCTGTATTTGTGTTCTGTCTCCTGAGAAACTCTTCTGTCTCCCAGCCGAGCTCTGGGAGCCGTGCCACTAGCCCGAGCCTGGGAACACTGCAAGTAAGCAGTTACCAGGGAGTGAAGAGCACGGGGAACTTCACGTCGCGTCCACAATGAGGCTGGGGAGGAAGATGTGGGGCAAGGGGCAAAAAAAAAAGGGGCTGAGTGGCATTTCTCAAGAAGGTTGGCGGGTTGAGAGGCTAACGGTGATACTCGTTCACACTCAAACTATTTGAATGCCAGTGGGAAATGCAAACAAGGGGGGAAAATGCCCATTAGCACAGCACAGCTCATGCAGCAACAGCTGCAGACAGCTGTTGGTTTACTGATCAGCGCCATGTGAATGCATCTAATTGCATGATCATCCCAACTCCTGGTCAACAGCACTTCAACAGATGAATATGGGTGAAGAGAGAAAAGCATACAGGAGTCTGATCGCCACAATGCAAGTGAGGAACCCCTCATTCAGTAAAAGGAGCTTCTGAAAAGCGTCTAGACTTCTTTAAGTTGCTTGAAGACGTTTCACCTCTCATCCGAGAAAG